GTAAATTTGGTCCTTCTGCTCTAGGCTGCTTCCGAATAAAGACTTCTTTCTCTCTGTAGTCGTAATTGTCTTTCATTTGAGTGCTGCCCTCCTCCTCTACATCTACATCAGCCGGTGTCCACCAGGGATCCGTCCTCTGACCCTTCTCGTTCTGGAGCTCACCTTGTTGTGTGGCATTTCTCACAGTGGGCCATTCTGCGAGAGTATTTCAAAGCAGACTCGGACATGCCTGAGCTGTCGGGCCCCAGCTGGCTTTGTGCTGCCAGCTGCATCCAGTGGTTATTCCTCACAGGCACAACCCCAGGTGTCCTTCCTTTCTGCCCTGTAATTCCCGTCTCTTTCATCCTCGCAGGATGTCCAACTTGTATTATGGGCTCATTCAATAAAACAACGTCCAGAGGAGCAGAGGCAGATACGGGTTCAACACAGACACACAAACAGATTGTTTGCAGATGCAGCCGGCTTTCACAGTCTGCAAAAATTTTTCAGCGCTATCTGGCTCCACAGAGAGATGAAGCACATACAAACCATCTCAAATCTTCCCAAATAGGGATTAATTGCTAATTAAAAGGAAAAATAAAATAAACCTATTCATGTGCTAAGGGAAATGTGCTGCAAAAATAACCACTGGTCCATTAATAGAAACGTAATTTGATTTCACAGCAAGATTCACTGGATTTTTATGGTAAACTAACCACAGCGCAAAACACACCATCACAGTTTGCTAATGTGGTCGGAGTATTTTTAGCACATAACTAATTGCTATGCTGTTTTGATTGTTAGCATGTTGCTGTGTGTTTACTAATCTGTTATAAGTGTTTTTAAGATGTTATTAGGCCTATATGATTGCTAAAATGTTCTGAGGATTATGAAATGCCTGCTATTATGTTCTGATTGTTAAACATGTTGTTATGTGTTTGCTAATGTGCTATAAGTGATTTAGGATTATTTGATTATATGATTTCTAAGATATTCTGAATGTTAGCATTTAGCTGCACCATTGCTAATATGTTCAAAGCATTTTCATCAGATTACTGCATGTTTGCCAAGTCGTTCTGAGTGTTTTAGCATCTTTCTACGCGGTTTTTAAGGTGTTTAAAGTGTTTTTATCAGATTACAGCATGTTTGCTAAGGTGTTCTGAGCGTTTTAGCATCTTTCTAGGTTGCTAAATTGTTCAAAGCTTTTTCATCAGATTACTGCATGTTTGCAAAGGTGATAGATATTCTGTATTTAAATCTGATATTCTGGTATGTGAATGTTTTTTCAGCCATTTTTCATTTTACGTTTTTTTATTTTCTCAGCCATTTTACTGTCCATCCGGTGTAAATCATAAGTCAGAATGCATAATTCATAAATGTAATAGCACCCTTCTCCTCAAAAAAAATGCCCGATTTGTATAATTCATGTGCGAAACACAAATGCGTCGAGTTACACGCCAAAGTTCACTAAAGTTAGGGGCTTGTTCAAATCCAAGTATGAGCCGCAGTAATAGAGATGCCTTCCTCATAGCAAGCGCCATTAAAACACAGCAACAGTTTATTTGCGATCTTCAAAGCCAGAAGACTCCCTATCTGTCATTATGTTTAGTTTTGCTCGGAGAACATTCCCGTTTCTGCTTTATTTAGAGTCTGCTCCACTAAATGTTTAATTATTTTGGCAGATGTGTCTGATGAGGAAGACACATAGAAATTGTCAATAACATCATCCGTGAAGAGAAGAGAGCAAGAAGTGTGAGAGCTGCGAGATTAATTTCATAAACAGAGGATGAGAGTATTAAAAACTGGAGGATTATGACAAGAGGTATAAAATGGGATTGCCAGGATTTTCATACTTTCTGCAACATGGCAGATCGTCCTCACTCTACATCAAACAGAGAATTGTGGGGCAAAATTCATCAGCTTGGCAACTAGGACGGCAGCGCTTACTCACGACAGATCTACCATCAGTGAGATTAGCAAAGCACTTCAGACTGCTGCACAACTGTGATGACAAACAGCAGGTGAATTGGCCGCGGGAAATCAGACATGATTGGATAATGGCAAAGCCAATGCTACCTGATTTCACCTAATCACACACAAGTCTTTACCAGCAGATGACGCCACTCGGCTACTTTAACTCTTTCGCCGACATTGACGGAATTTTTCACAGTTTTAGGCCTCGTGCATCAAAGAAAAAGTGCGCAGATATCTTTAGAATTTTGTCTTTGAACTTCCCTTTTTTGGGGGGTAGCTCTATAGCATGTTGACGAGTTATTAGCTGGGGAAGTGGATTTATTTACTGTAGAGTTAACTAAAGTTATAATGTTTGAAGCGGATGTCATAACAAATGTCAGTAGACCTGTACGTTTTAAAACGAGCAGTTCATGCAAAAATGGCATAGGTATGATTTTGACATTGGTGTGGACAACTGATCAAAATTATTGCTAGGGACAATTTAGTAGCTGCTGGATATTGGTAGGGACATGTCATAGCATCTCTACTAAATTATATGCCTGTGAATGATAATTACAAAATATGATCATATTTCCATAAGGGTGTTACATTTGATCAATAAATGAATGTCAGCCATTTGTAAAGACCAAAGAGAGGGCGTGGCCATAGTGAAACATCCAATCATTTGGTATCTCTGGAAAGCCCTGAATGTGCGCTGTACAGGACATCCAGATTTAAAACTGTGACATGTAACGTCTCAGAGAAATCGCTAAAACATAATGCCCTCTACAGTGGACAAAACTCCATAGCTGGTAGTCAGGAGGATATGACTTTCTTCTTTCAGACGAATCCAATCGGAGGTACATTAAAAATTGTCCTGGCTATTCCAAGCGTTATTATTGTAGTAGGTGGGTGTTTCTCTTTAAAAGTCCAAAACACGTTAAATAAAGCATGCGCATCCATAATAAAACGTGCCTCACATGGCTCTGGGGCATGAATAAAGGCCTCCTGTAGCGATTCCATGCGTTTTTGTAAGAAAAATATCCATATTTCAAACGTAATAAACACTTTAACATTTTTAATTTTTTTGTTTTGTTTGTTTGTTTGTTTAAGAGGCTCTGCTCTCTCTCTTTTGTTAATATTGCATGTTCACATATTCACACAACAAAATATTCTGGGGGCCATGAAGTGGGGAAAGAGTTAAAGTCAACATGAAGCGGCGTTCGCATTTGACTTTCAAAACGTGCTGTATTTCCAAGCGAAACCGAATATTCGACAAGAGGCTTGATTTTATCCATCAAGAATTGATTGGATCGTGAGCAGTGGGCGTTAGATATCAGAAAGGAGCCAGACGTGGATGTGAGTTTATGAGTTTGATTCGGTCCAGCTCTGTGTCCCACTCACTTCATCTGTTGCTGCAAACTCCAGCCTACACACTGACCGCTGCCTGCATCATCCCAGCTATTTAGGACGGATTTCAAAGACTGCAAACGACAGCCAGCTAGAGCCTATATGAGCCAGACCACGTCACTGACTGCCTTCACCGTTCCAGTCGTTTAGGATGGATTTCAAAAGGCTATACATCAATGCAGCACTGCCAACTGCAGCCTACTGTATATCAGCCAGACGCTGCGCTGAACTCCCTGCATCACTCTAACAGCACCGAATCATTTATTCATTGAATACGTGGCTATTATTACATATACTAGGCTATGCGTGATTTTGCTTAAATGCTATAAGTCAAAAGTTTGAAATAATTAAGTTATTTAATGTTTTTGGAATAAATCTCTCATGCTTACCAAGGTTGCATTTATTACAGTAAAAACAGGAATATTGTGAAATATTATTGCAATTTATTTGTTTTCTATGTGAATAGGCCCATATTTTAAAATTGCAATTTATTGCTGTGATCAAAGTTGTATTTTCAGCATCATTACTTCAGTCTTCTTTATAAAAGTTAAGAGTCAGCCACACCTACCTAAAACGGCTCGTTCTAACACGCCCCCACATACCTACGTCACTATTTGGGCGGCGTTATGCAACTCTTCCCAGATAGTGACGTAGGTATGTGGGGTGTGTTAGAACGAGCCGTTTTAGGTAGGCGTGGTTGACTCTTAACTTTTATAAAGAATATCTCTTTGGATTTGAGACTTTAGTCTTTGCAACTTTACAGATCTTCTTTATGCACCAAGAGCTTGTAACACTCCAAAGAGAAAGGAAAAATTGAAATCGCATCATATGACCCCTTTAATATTTTTGTGGAAACCATGATACATGATTCGTGATTCTTTGATGAATAGAAAGTTCAAAAGAGCATTTATTTGAAACAAAAATATTTTGTAACATTAAAAAGCCTTTACTATCACTTTTGATCAATTTAATGCATCATTGCATAAAATAATAATAACTATTATTATTATTATTTTTTAAATATTACTTACCCCAAACTTTTAAATACTAGAGTATCACTGTTTCCACAAAAATATGAAGCAGCACAACTGTTTTCAACCTTGATAATAATCAGAAATGTTTCTTGCTTTGATCACCGGGTTAAAAAAAAAGAGAGAGAGAGATTTTAAACACTATTCAAAGAGAGAATAGTGAGAATTTTTTAATTGTAATAATATATAACTGTTTTTAATAATAATATATTACTGTTTTTACTGTATTTTGATCAAATGAGCAGAAGAGACTCAAAAAAATAGTAGTGTATGTTTATTTAATTAAGTATATATGATAAATGAGTCTCATCTCAAGGTTTTTCCCTTCACTACCTAAACAACTTTTTTTTTTTTTTCTCTGACAACTGTCTCTTATGGTTCTCTCACTGGTTTAAGACATTTTATTTAAAGCTGTTTTGAGACATTATGGATTGTGAAAAGTGCTACACAAATAGAAACCACCGATGCACACTTTTTGAAATCGTGTTATTCTCGCTATTGCATATAACTACTGTTATTATTGCCATAACCTAACTACTGCCAAGATTTCAGAAAGACTACAGCAATAGCCTAAATCAATGTCTAACTATTTATTTGGATATAAATTGATTTATTTTTTCTCTGCCCGTGTGACCCAAGTGACGTCAGCTGAAAAGAAAAATCGTTTGAAAGGTGGATCAAATCTTTGCATACATAAGATTATAAAGAGAAGTTATGTGTATAGAATAAGTAAACAGGGTCAGTTTTGATTTCTGGTTGATTTACAGTCACTTTAAAGTAACATGAACACTTCTCTTGATCCGCTGACTGTACAGTTTCTCCAGTTCATGTTCAATTCATGTTCTTTTGAAAGGTTATTGTATAATATAACCCATTAAGTGCACAAACAGATCATGTTTTATGCTTGGTCACAGTTTTTGTTTGGAGCTACTTGCTTTATCGAGCACATCATGGGGTCAAAACCAAAAAATGTTTAACCGATCCTGCACATGAAACCAGTGTCCTCTTGCATCCTATGCATGGTAGAAATCATGACAAAAAAGCACATGATAAAAACAGCGCACTTATATTTTGCATAGGCTTTGATATTAGGGTTATAACAGCCAGACTGTAAGTGTGATGTTGGTTTCTCAGCTGCTGCAGATATTAGGCCCAGTGACGGGGTCAGGATCACATCGGAAAGGTCCACAGACAAACAGGTCTGAGCCGAGAAACCGGAGTGAAATCACACATCGGTCATTTCATCCTCCGTTTCGCCTTCAGCTCCCTCCTCATCCTCGGATGTCATATCTGCATCATCCATCTGGGACATGCACTTCTGACAGGAACAGACGAATAAGTAATTCTCCCTGAAAATGAGAGGGAAGAAATGATGTGGTTTATCATTTAAAAAGCCTAAATTCAGACACAAATCACTATTCTGTCAAATATTGTCCTATCCTAACAAACCATACATCAACGGAAAGCTTATTTATTCATCTTTCAGATGATGCATACATCTCAATTTCATAAAACTGACCCACATGACTGGTTTTGTGCTCCAGGGTCACATATGTTCAGTCAAACACACAAAAAAATGAAAGTGAGAACTGCTACGCTGCTCTTTTTTTCCCCCAAGTCTTCTGAACTCATACAACAGTTTTGTGAAAGGAAAACTAGACGAGTAATAAGTAGTTACTGTCCCTCTCTGTCTAAATGCTTCAATGGTTGTTCTTAAAAAATTGTAGTTAGTAACGTAATCCATTACATTACACATTTTAGGTAATATAATTAGATTACTATTTGATTACTTCTGACCTACCTCATTAATCACACTGATTTAAATAGGATAAGCAATACTTTATTGATATAAAAATACATAGAGAATGAAAATATTCCATTCATTGTTATTAACAACATGAAGTGCATTAAACATTACTGTAAAGATTCTTCAAAAATAAAATAAACAAACAAACAGTGCCGGGTAGATCACTTGTATATTGTAATCTGTTACTGATTCCAAATTACATTAAAAAAAATTGTAGTTAGTAACGTAATCCATTACATTACACATTTTAGGTAATATAATTAGATTACTATTTGATTACTTCTGACCTACCTCATTAATCACACTGATTTAAATAGGATAAGCAATACCTTATTGATATAAAAATACATAGAGAATGAAAATATTCCATTCATTGTTATTCACAACATGAAGTGCATTAAACATTACATTACGTCAAAGTCTCCCAATCTGGGGTTCATGAAGAAACGAGTTTAATGAAAAGCTAATGGTTAATTAAATCATAAACATTGTAAAATTTAAATAAGTCATTTTAAAACAACAACAATCAAAATAAAGAACTTACTAAAAAAGATTAAATATTTCATGTCATTATGTGACCATTAACCGGAGTCAGAGAAATGTGAACATGTAAATGTGTTAAATAATTAACGTGTTGCCTTCAAATCTCAGGGGGACTTGTTTGAGTACGAGTATTTTAAAGTGTATATATAGAGTATATAATCAAATTAAAAGTACTTAATTTTTTGGAATCTGATTATGTAATCCAGATTACATGTAATCATTTACTACTCAGCACTGTAAGTAAATAAATAAAACTTAAAAACATCCCAATAAAAGGGTTTGGATGCTGAATATTAAAAAAAAAGAAAAAAAAAGAATCTTTCAGACTCAAGTGTTCGGTCCATTAGGGCTTCCGATCTACTCTTATTCTCTAACAAGTGAAGATAAACAATATCCATCAGATCCAAGGGGGGTCCGTCTCTGATCTCGACTTTTCAAGGTGAAGTCAGGCTTTACAGAGGAATAAAGTGAATATAGATTAAGTGGGGTTTCCGAGCAAACCCTCATTGGTCATCATAGCTGCTGCGATTGACAGGTAAGTGATCAATAGCAGAGCAGGGGCCCAGCAGCAAGCCAGCGGAGGGCCCCTGTGGTTATCCAGGCCCAGAGCTGCTGCCAGGGGACGAGGCCATTGATCCTCTCAGGAGGTAGACTCAGCTCTGCTTAAACAAGGGATTGCATTGGTTTACCTCAAGATCTTGTGCCGGCTATGACGACTCCGGTCTCGCTGGCAGCAGTCCAGGTAGCTGATACAGATCTCCTGCAGAGAGGAGGAGAGAAATACATGGGACAATCAGCATTGAAGCAGTTATATGATGAATTGGGGGAATTAAGTTATACAGAAATAATCAGAAAAGGCTTTCCAACGGTTTTCCGTTTTATAAATTGGCCAGAATCGTGAAAGCAATCTGTGGGTCTGACAGCCTTCGTAATGTTTGTCAGTGGTCTTACTGATTTCCAACGCAAAGTATAACATTTTTCTCAGTAAAGTCAGTAAACATTTCATTTTTCCAAATGCTCGCTAACTAGTTCGGTCACTAGCAGACCACAGTTGAAATCATTATTCATACTATTCATTTATTCCTGTCCTTTCTGACAGACCTTCACACACAATCACTGAAAGAAGTCCCTTATGCATTTAAAAATACAGTAAAAACTGTAAAATTGTGAAATATTACTACAATTCAAAATTTCTAAGTGAATATCTTAAACTGTAATTTATTTCTGTGATGCGCAGCTGAATTTTCAGCATCATGACTCCAGTCTTCAGTGTCACATGATCTTCAGAAATCATTCTAATATACTGATTTGCTGCTCAAGAAACATTTCTGATTATTATCAATGTTGAAAACAGTTGTGCAGCTTCATATCTTTGTGAAAAACGTGATACATTTAATTTTTCGGAATTCTCTGATGAATAGGAAGTTCAAAAGAACAGCGTTTATTTGAAACCGAAATCTTTTGTAACGTTATAAATGCCTTTAATGATCACTTTAATGCATTCTCACTAAATAAAAGTATTACTTCCTTGAACTTTTGAATGGTGTATCTGCATTTGTGCCCAACTGAAAAGGCTTTCTCAATTCAGTTCTCATTAACACACAACTCTGCAAAACATAATAGTAAATGGTCACTATGCAACAAATCTGGCATTAGATAACCTTACAAAAATGCATTACGCTCTCTTTGTTGTGAATTCGGAGCTGAAAGCGATTACGAATTCCCGATAAGCTGTCATCCACTGGCTAATATGATTCAGATAAACAAACCTATGAAATAAGTCTGTGTGATGTGAACAGCAGGCAGATGCAGGCCTTTTCAATCTATCTGACAAGCTGCCAAAACTGCTCCCATCTTCAGCCTCTAGACTGTAATTCCTACCGACAATGAAACACTCAAGGCTTTCGAAGGCATTACGAGCCTCTGCTTAGCATCTATTATCCAACATGCTCGTCTGACCTCTCCGGGGCTGATGTCGCTGAGGGCGCCGAGGTGGAGGAGGAAGTTGTTGTCGGGGAAAGACGCCTCTGCGTTGGGAACGCAGCTGTGGTTACCTGTGCAACACAGGAAACCCTCATAAATCTTCACGTCTGCTTTTGTGGAGCACGAAGACAGGCCTCATTTGTTAAGCTGACCTGATTTCCGCGACTCAAAGTCAACTTGCATGTAAAAATGAAAACATCACAGCTGTGCAAACTGAAAGACGTGCCAATACGCATGAAGACGGTTCTCACAAGAGCTTTGCAGCAGGAAAAGACCGGAGCCCTCGCAGTTGAGGAAATCGCCGGTTTCTGCAAAAGAAAAAAAATGATCTATGAACGCCTTTCGTCGCTGGGATTTATTTCACACTTTTGCACAAAACAATCATATTTTACACAGATCGAAGGCCGTCTAAGTGGTAAAATGTGTGTCTCTGTCTCAGCCGTGCTCGAGGAGCCAGATGTCAAACGCAGGGATGGATTCAAACACACATCAGATCAGATCAGAGGAGTATTATTCCACTGCACACTCGTCTATGGTAAAATAAAGTGATTGCTTGCACTGAGCGGATATTACCTGGTGCCAATACCCTGACCATTGGTCCCAACAAGGGAAAATAAAGAGCGAAAACCGTCTGGGGTGAACCACTATAACAAAGAACAGACTCGTTTTACATTTAATCATTTAGCAGACGCTTTTATCCAAAGCAATCAGACCAACAAGAGAGTAACAATATGTGACCCTGGACCACAAAACCAGTCGTAAGGGTCAATTTTATGAAATTGAGATGTATACATCATCTGAAAGCTGAATAA